TTGTCCTTCCTGATTTTTTTTTTTATCCATCTCAGATATGGCTGCCTGAGCGCTTGTTGGGGGCTACCGATTAGGAATTTCTGGGGGACTTTATATATATATATCGTCAAATAGAACTGCCCGGTAAACCGTAGGCAGAGAGGGAGAAGAGGACAACAAACGAGGGGCTGTGACAAACTGTTTCGTCGGAGTTTCACCGACTCATCAGGAGGCTATATATTCTTCCCCTTTTTTCCTTTTCCTTTTTTCTTTCCCCTTTTGTGCGCTCTGATTCACAATGTGACAATATATATATTGGCTGTTCCCTTCCTCTTTTCTTTGCCTCTTTGCCTTTCGGCTGTGTGCAAGTGGGGGTCGATATGACACACGGGGGTGGGGGCAGCCGCCGCTCAACCTACATCCACGTGGGCGGCCTTGTACGCAAGAGGTTCTGAACTGGCCCGGGGGAGTTGTAAGGAAGAAGATTAAAAATGAATTGATATTGTTTTGTTTCCTTTGTTTGTTTTTTCGCTTTTGAGCTCTGATATTTATGTGACGATATATATATATATATATATATATATGGGAGGGATTTGTATATTGCACAGCACCGGTGTGAATCTATTGTGTCTCTCTCTCTCTCTCTCTCTCCCCGAGGACCGTGAGAAGCGATCAATGAGTCGATCAATCGTGTGCACAGCTTTTATTTATCATCATCATTGATTCATCAATATACTGGCTGATAGGAACTTGAGCTACATCACTTTTATTTATTTACTTAAGTTAAACTCTGTTTAAAAAGGCGAAATTGTTTTCAAGTTTCAACACTTCGCTGTCAAGAGATGTTCTTAACCCTGGTTAGTAATTAATCATCTGTCGTTTAGAGAATTTTCATTGAGACTGTAAACCCTGACGTACAGAGAATCCATCTCTCTGACAGCTGCGGCAGGATTTTTTTTTTTTTTTCCCTTTTTCCTTCGTTCTTTTCTTTGCCACGAAGTCTTTCATCTCAGATGTAGTAACCTTCCTTTAAAACTTTTTCAGAAACTTTATTTTAACGTTTTTTTTTACCTTTCTAATTTTTTTTTTTAAAACCTTTTTTAAAACCTTTTTTTTAACCTTTTTTTAAAACCTTTTTTTTTAACCTTTTTTTTTAACCTTTTTTTTCAACCTTTTTTTTCAACCTTTTTTTTTAACCTTGTTTTTGCGTACAGAGATTAGATGTTTCTCCCGGTGAATAGTTGGGAAATTAGTTGTTTTATTTCGTAAATTTTCTGTTTCAAAATCGATGCCTTTACAAGTTTCTCCCTCCCGGTGAATATTTCGGAAATTAGTTGTCGTATTTCGTAAATTTTCTGTATCAACAAAATACAGGCCTTTTCCTGGCCGTTCCCGCAGAGAATAGTGACGGTAATTGGTGAATGATTTGGCATATTCTTTGTCTTATTTCGAGATTTTGCTTGCGCTTTTCCGACGGAATTTTGTGATTAGATCTCCTTGGTGCGTCCTAGCAGTGGGTTTTGTTGAGCATAGCAGGCACGTTTCCAGCATCGATTTGTGCATGCAAGCATGTTCTGCTTTGGACAAATTGCTACACCAGTACGCACAAAATGCGTGTACGTGATTTTAAATTACCAGTACTCTCTGGATTATCGGACTATACCGGGGGAAACTGATAGGGTACCCTTCGGAAATTTTGAGCTAGATGGGTTTTCTGGGGGTTGGCATGGCACTGAAGGCCCCTCCTGCCAGCTAGGCGGCCGAGTCTCGGTCTGTAGTACCCTGTACTCGCCCAGATCTAGAGTGAGCGGGATATCGTAGTAAGCATTGTACGGAAGCATTGTACGGAATTACACATGGCATGCGTATAACTGACTGGACGGGCGAGCTACATAGTAGGAGGTGTGCGGAATGGTCCCGAATGTGCAATCAGGACCAAATTGAATGAGTGACCAGAATTAGTAGATGGCAGTTTGATGGTTCAGGGTTGTGATCGTTGGGTAGACAATTTGGGAGCTATAGCCCTTTCTTCCCCCGAACACAACGTACGGTCATTATAGCTGTATTTGGGTTTTCTTTCGGTCTAAGTACAGCTATAATGACCGTACGTTGTATTCGGGGGAAGAAGGTAGAACATGCGTGATACTCATAGCACGTGAACATGCAGCGAAAACTGGTCGGAAGGAGCAGATTGTTATATATATAGACTTTCGTTGGCTATACGTGGTTTGAATTGCTGATGCCCGCTGGGCCCGCTGGGCCCGCACATAAATCTTTGGTGCCGGCTTCGTTACCCTCAACAAGTCTTTTCGTTCCATCCCCCCGTTTTTTTCGTTCTTGACGGAAGTTTTTTTTTTTGTTTCCTTTTTGGGATATAAATATGGCGCAGTCACGAAAAAAGTTCGCAAATGCACTTCAGGCATTCTCCCGAACATAAAACACCCCACGTGACCCTACCGGACCCGAAAGCTTGTATACATTCGACATTTTCAGGCCTTTTGCCTCAAGTGCATTTTCAGCCCCGACTGCGCCGAAGTTTTCTCTTAGTTTTCCCATGAGCTGTTTCTACTGCAGCACGACATGATGGCCTGTAAATTCTGTAATGCTTGAGAGAGAGAGAGAGAGAGAGAGAGAGAGAGAGAGAGAGAGAGAGAGAGAGAGAGAGAGAGAGAGAGAGAGAGAGAGNAGAGAGAGAGAGAGAGAGAGAGAGAGAGAGAGAGAGAGAGAGAGAGAGAGAGAGAGAAGGGGAGGAATTTGAGGGCGCCAGTCTGCGCATTGCAGTGGCGAGGGAGGAGGGTATATAGATTCATGGAAGCTGTTTTGAAAAGAAAAAAAGCAGAAGGATTCTGTTTTGCCGGAGTTTTCTTTGTTGGTACGTTGGTTTGCCAACCGAAGCTGGGTAATGGTCCCAGTACCTGCAGAGTTCTCTTTTTTTTTTTTTTTTAATCTGCAGAGTTTTCTTTCTGGGTTGTTTGTGAGCAATGTGAGGGAAATCGTGGCCTCATGTTTTGCATGTAATGGATTTCTTGCTTTTCCCAGATAACTGGCAGGACTTTTCCGACTGAGCTCTCTCTCTGGGCGTGATTGCGGTCACAGCCCTCCACGTACGGGTGTAATTACAGTCTTATAAATTGGGGAAAATCTTGGTGTGCGTATGTACATGTGTGGATCATACTATCGTGCAATGCTTTCCAAAACTGACCACCTCTCTCTCTCTCCTCCCAAATGCAGAAAAGTATCATAACGTGATACTTCCCCTCACTGCCCATCCTTCCGTGAGCATAATTGGACACCTATGCAGGCCCCCCCTGCAAGATGGGCCCAAAGCATAATGCCACATCCTTGTAACCCTTGGCTCTTTTGCTCTCTGATATGCAGAAAGCATAATGCGACGCCCCTCTACGACCCCTCACCCATGGGGCAGAACGTCTCAGCACTCCTCGCTTCCATGATTCCATCACCTATGGAAAGCCTTGTGCAGCGCCTTTCATGGCTCTCGAAGCTCTCAAAGATTTCATTGCCCTGTGCTCCCACCCCAGTTGCACTCCACCTGTCTACTTTGCTTCCTTTTCCGGTATGTTCTTCCCTCTCTAGTCGCACTCTCGTCCTCCGCTGAGCTCTCTATCAGGTGTGTTGCAGCCCAGCTGTGTTTCCCCAAGCCTCGTTCTCATGAGTCGCTGCCCTTCGTTTGTTGTCCTCTTCTCCCTCTCTGCCTACGGTTTACCGGGCAGCTCTGTTTGCCGATATGTATATATGACGATATATAGGTCGAGCGGCAGTGGTCGGGGTTGTCACTACGCGGCCATGCTGTGCCTCTAGGGCCAGCGGCGTGTCTGGATTGTGTATTTTTTGGCTGTGACAGACCTTTCTTTGTTTCGTGGATGTTTTGCTTGCTTGTTGCTTGTGATGGGGTGTGAACCGACAGTCTGTAGAGTTTTCCATCTGGTGTGGGTGAGTGATACTCTGCTTTGACTTTTGCCACAGGTACCTTGAGGGCAGTGGTTGAGGGGTATCAGTTGTCGGGCAGTCGTTGATGATGCTTAACCACAGCCGGGGTTAAGGTGGATTATCACTTAAGTGTAATCAGTTAGGGGATTCTGCACACTGTTGAGGGTTCAGCCTCCTCATGAGTCGGTGAAACTCCGACGAAACAGTTTGCCACAGCCCCTCGTTTGTTGTCCTTTTCTCCCTCTCTGCCTACGGTTTACTGGGCAGCTCTGTTTGACTATATATAACGATATATGTATATGACGATATATATATATATATATCCTGCAAGTTCATTGACAGTTTGAGATGATTTGTGGATGGAGTGTGTGTGTGTGTGTGTGTGTGTGTGT